ATATATATATATATATATATATATATATATATATGCGACGTAACTGTAGGTACAGTCGTTTCTGGCAATGTATCCGTATGTATGCATTACGTAGCACGTTTACCGTGCGCTACTTGGGTCCAAGGTTTGTTCCACGGCACAAAGCTGGAGGAGGCCGAGGAGACAAGCTTTGATCGCCCGCTAGAATCGTGTACGCGGTAAATGCACTTGAACGTTAGTGCAGTGGCATGTATGTGGCAGAACGCAACATGGGGGGTGATGCGACCATCGTCTACCGTTCTTGCTCTTTCCTACGCACACTTCATGGGCCAATCTTCCGTTGCGCTCGAATAGAAACACCGCAAGATTACCTCCTCGCCGGCTTCGTTTACCATTTATTTCTTATACCATATCATGGAAAAATCATTATCTCGCGTATGAAAGTTAATCAAATTATATTAATATTCATCGTTATTTTATATCGAAATGAAAACGGAAGTTTGATCAATGTATTTGGTATAACGTATATTTCATATAAAATTCATTAAAAATCGATACGAAGAAACAAGGGTGTGTACAATTTTTGAACCTATTTTTGCTCGCATAATTGCGTAAATTTGTAAATATTTTTCAGACGACACGCATTTTTTAAATAAGATAATATTTAAAAAAAATACGCAAAAGTTTCTATGTTTCATTCCAGATAGCGATATATATCGAGAGATAAAGCAAAATACTAGTCGGTTACCACGGAGATCGTGTACCTGTCCAGTTTCCGTGATCCCTTTATTATCCATTCGCTCTTTCTCGTTAACGAACATGCAATAGATAGGTATACATTGAAAGCTATCCACCGGTAGATTCGCGTATGGAAAAAAAATGATTCGAATTTGACGTTCCTTTGATTAAACTATCTTTCGTTGCAAAAAAAAAAAAAAGTGTCTTAAAAATCTTAATACGACACGAAATTTTTGTTTTCTTTTTTTTTTTTAAATAACGCGAAAATTCATGGTATGTATTAAGAATATTTTGAAATTTAGAATTTAACATAGCAATAGGCAAATACTTACTTGTTTCGCTTTCCCGACTAGTATTTTCGTCCGTAATCCGATAGCCTAAAGCGAGCCAATACATCAATGTATGAAATATCGCGTAACAGGGTTGGTTGGTTTCATCGTCACGAGAGAGAGGAGTTTGCTAGGAATGCAATTATGCGAGGATCCGCATTAAGTTTTAATCCGATCTAGTTTTATACTCGCGGAGAGTTTATGACCTGCGCGGAAAGCTTCTTAACGATAATGCGATATCTTGAGAGGATAGGACAGGCATTAACTTTACTACCCAAGGGGGCAAAGGACCATGAAGGTTAGATCGAAGGTCCAAGGTGAAGAGGAGCGGGACGCAGCGTCTTACACCATCCTAACTTCCGCTCTACCGGCATATTCGCTACTATTCTCTTAATTGTCAAACTTTCACGCTTCTCCTAATTTCTCTTCTTATCGCGCGTGCTTTATCGAGCAACCAATGCGCGCCCGTGTAAAGATCAACCAACCGCGATAATCTCGGATTAAATCGTTGTCGAAGCGAAATTCGTCAAAATTTTCGCAGCTATAGTTGTACCGATATGTAAAAAACCGCTGAATGACGTATTATCGTCGATAATCGATAATCGACTCGCGTTAATTAATCGGTAACAAAGAATCGTACGAGGGAAGTAGCGGTTTGGATCGTGTTTTATATTTGCGTTCACGGTATATATGATATATACATATGCGTATTCTTTATTTTTGTAGGTTATTCACGGTGTTCACATAGAAGCAGCGCATGAAGTAAGAAAACGTAGTATCAGTCAACCGGTTAGAATCCTGTTATCGTACGACGAAAGCGTTTACAGGTAAGTCGATATTTCGATTATATCGTGTAATATATCGCGTAAGGGTGAAAATTAACCAACGATACGAATCAAACTCTCTAACGACGTATATATGTACGCGTTAATGGTACGTGTAACGATCGAGTCGCGATATAATAATTATTTATATATTCGCACGTATAACCAATAAGAAATATTAGACGCGCAATATTTGTTTTCTACTATCGTTATAAGAATAAAATAAAAATCCATTTTCAAAATGGATGAACGTTCTCGGGCGGGGATAAAGAAAATTTTCGAGTGAAATTTTGTGGCTACGTCATGAACGCGCGTACTGCGTAAGACGCGCTTTACTTCGTCACGACGAACTAACTTTTAACTTCGGGATTGAAAGTTGCGCAGTTGTTAAATGCTACCATAACGCCAACCTAAACTTTCCTAGTAGTGTTCCGTGACTACTTCCTATCCGTGCATTCATCCTGTTCGCGTACACCGTTAGGGCCAAAGTTAATCGGAAAGCGATTATATTAAGATCGAATATTCGAAAACACGGACTCGATATTATTATTTTTGTAGTAAATTTAATCTTTCGATTTTAAAGATTTTGATCGAGAAAATCGAAACGAATATAGTTTTTCCGCTTTTACTATTTCAAAAGCGAAAACGTGGAAAACGGAAAGAATGTTTGAAATATTAGTAAAACGATGCTTTCACCGATTCGGTTACGGATATATTTCAAGTTAATTTTTGCACTCGATTTTCCATGAATAGGAACGAAAGCGAATTTTCGTTCCAGTTGTTCAGAAACTGTTGTTGGTAATTAATCGCGTTTTCTCGTTACCGATAATTAATCCCGCGTCGCTTGTATTCAAAAAATAAATAAAGAGAGAGAGAGAGAGAGAGAGAGAGAGAGAGAGAAAAGGAAAAAGGAGAAAATTAACCGATACGGTCGAATTTACCGATATCGTGAACGAACTCTCTCCCGGGAGATCGGCAATGGTTGTCAATCGAATAGAAAGCGTTAAAATTTCCGTCGAGGACCAAAAAACTTGGATACGCGCCAGATGAACCACTGTCTGCATGTGTAGGTTCGGTTCACAACCGACGACGTACCTTTATTCAATTTGCAATTCACCCGTGATCGTCGACGATATTTGAAAAAGGTCTACTACTTCGTTCGAATGGATCTACGCCAAATGTTTGTACCTGATCAGAATCGATATCATCCGAATCATCTTTGATATTTCGTGAAAAATTATAATACGTAAGTGTTGATGGAGATCTTTCGCGTAATATTTTAATTCTCCATTTCGAAACTCTCTTTCTTTCGAATCATCCCGTTGCGATATGATAAAAACGATATTAGATGAACGTAACAATTATTACTTTCTTCCGTCAAATTTTTCTAATTATCGTTGTTCCAATTTCATTATCCAACGATATATCACATCCACTTATTCGAGCCGAAATTCGAGTCATTCCGCGGTCTCGGATTATTCCGTGTGTACCATTAAACATCGTAAATGATCTCTCATGAGAGATATTCTCAAAGTTTCGACGCAATCGCGTTAAAATTATCTTTCACGGTGTAAGGAAAAGATAATGATACGTTACCATGTCTCTCACTCCTTCATCCCTTGATATCGAAAATCGAAAAGCGAAAACGCTTTTAATAAAGGGAATAGGCAAAGATCGAAATCTCTGTCGACTAGTTTTGAGTTTTCAATATTTTTACTACATACGTTTTCTTTTTAAAAAATCAGTAATCAGAAATAAAATGCGATAATCATTGTTCTCACTCGTGTCAATCTGAAATTCATAGATTTTACGTAACAGTCATATGCGCGTTGATCATTTTCGACTTGGCCTTTCCTTTCACAATTAATAAAGTTCAATTATCCAATATTAACTTAATATGGGCAATCTTGACGACAGAATCGCGTAACATTTTATCGTTGATCCATTCTACGAACGAACGATGCGTCAAAGATGTACATTTTTCACGGATGACCGGTAAATCAAAGCCATATTGTATATTAAATTGCATACTTTTACGGATAATTTTATCGCTATAACTTATATCAACGACAACGAATCGATCGTTGAAATCAAGCTTGAACTTTTCGCGTAGAATCCGTAAAAAGAAAGTAAAAATTTGTTCTAAAAACCGACTCTATAGAAGAAACCGTGCCATTTAATTCTCTTCTCGTTTCATCTCGATATCTCGATCTGTTGCCAAGTTATAAAGAATCAAAGTGTCCATATGATACGCAGGAGATGAGATACGAGCGAATAAGCAACAGAGACATGATAAACGTAAATTAAAAGGGTATAATTCCGCGCTTCTAATAATCGTTCGCTCATTGACCGAAACTTGTACTATCGAGAAGTAGGATCCGAAATAGCGATTTAAAATTTTTCTAATTTTAGTAGGATTTAATCGAATTTGAAAGAAAATTACGCGATAGATGTGTCTATGTATTTTCACGAATATCTTATTAATTACACGTCGAAATTGATTTAAAACTTATCTTATCTCTGCCCCGAGTCGAATCTTTATTTAATCGATTCGCTTCGAGTTTAGTTATACGTTAATTAATCGAAATGAGTTTAACGAATTTCTAATCTCGTATAATCTCGTACGCGCATTCGTCAATTCTGGCGATAATCGAAATCGACAGTTTTCCATCAAGTTTTTTAGATCAGTTCCGAGACGAAATAAATAAAGAGAGTCGAGATAGAGAGGGTGGCTTGTAAAATATTGACAATTTTTTCAAAGATAGACTCTTCTTTTCTAAGGCTTGGCGACGAAAACACACGCGTACCATTTCCTCTCGTCTCGTCAAAGGACCGTCCTAATTGGCCGTTTACATTCGCGCGTGTAAATTTTACCATTCGACCATAGTTTCTCTCGCTCTTCACCAGACTACGCACACTCTCTTCTAACCCTCTGCTGCCCGTCTACCATTTGTGCCTCTCTAGCCTTCGTTTCGGTCAATGTTTATCCTCGCGCAATGGTATACGTAGATATACAGTGAGAGAGTACAGTTTGGGTTGGAATGCCCCCGAGCGGCATCTCGTAAATTCACCGGCTGTACTCCGCGATCGTAAATTAACCATAATATTCATATGTGCTTATCGGCACTGTTAATTACATCGCACATGTTTCCCACTGTTCAGAACTGTAATGCATTATATCGCGTATCGTAGTTGGTAGAATCGTTTCAACCTTTCTTCTTCGCGTATTCACAAATTTTCGCTGCTAACGACAAATTTAAACCAATTCCAATATCATATACCTATTGATAAAATCGATTTATATATATATATATACTTTTTTTTTTTGAATTCGATACGACGAATATTTGATAAATGGAATTCCCTTCGATCGAAAAATAGAGCTGAAATCGCACTACTTTTCAAACTACTCATAACTCTTTTTTTACTCCTTGAAAACCAACTTGAACGTTTTCCGCATCGTTAATGAACCAAACTTTGATATTGCTTTTTTTAAGCAATAATTACCATCTTTCCCGTTAAACTTCATAACGAACTTTGATAATCGTTTTATCTCGTAACCCGCTCTTTAAATGTTGTAATATTTTTAAAGAAAATGATATTAGAGAGAAAGAAAATTTAACTCGTAAATAGATATAATTTTTCAAGTTATGTAAAAAATCAGTTAATTATAATTTTCAATTCGATTACATTATTATTAGAGATTGCTGATGCACGGAAATATCTCGTAGTCTAATCATTATTGATCAATCGATATAATTTAAAATTATCTTTGCAAAGATCAATGTCGTATTTCTTTTTATCCACCATTCATAGCCCAACAAAACGTTACGTTCTTTCCCCATTTCTTCGCATACTCATTTTGACTTTTTTAAATTTATATTACGAATAAATTTCTATTTTTTCTGATCCAATTTTTCGCAGTTTTACGCGCAAAAGTATTCGTTTCTCGACAATTTTCTTTCCTGAAAAGAACTGTTTCTTTTTCCTCGCCTAGTCTGGAACACTAGGAAAACATCAAGACACAAATTTGTACTCTTATCAAAGCGGTTAAAATATTTACTTTCTCGCGCGAATGTTAACGATGCAACTTCGATCGAAGATAAAAATCGCTTATGTAAAAAAAAATTCTTATTCGTGTATATAAAATACATCTGGACTATTATTTTTATTTTCTATTAAAACTCATTATCGTTCGATATTACAATCACGCATGAATCGAGATTCGAAGCTCGTTAATTATCGTAATTAATCCGGTTCATTTCCAGCTGTTTTTGATTAATTCCTCGTTTTATCCATCCGGTGCGTATAAACACGTTTTGCAAGTAAAAACGAAATAAATCGGTTTGCATCGTACAGAAACATCGTATATTTTAGTTTAACGGAAATCGGTCAAATAAATTATCGACAAGGTATATTCGTGCTCGAAATTTGTTCGAAACTCGTCGTCGTTCCACCATCAATAATCGATATAATATAATATTTTTTCCAAACGAAGATGATACGTTTAAGAATAATCCGTCCAAATTCGCAAAATCTCGATTACATTTCTAATCATGATCGAAACGAACGTTTCGTTATAACCGAAGACAAAGAGCGTTACGCGAGAATCGTATTACAGTTGATCGAGCGGCAACCGATTCTCATGCTATTCAACTTGACTTTTGCAACGTATTTACTTTCACCTACTTGGCCTAGAAAGTGCAGTCGGGTGTTAAGAATTACGAAAGCAAAACGTCTCCGACATGCCATTATTATCATCGATAAAATAGATGGAAGAAAATATATATATTCAAAATTATAAACGAAACAAGGTACACTTTTGTCATTCGTTCAACTTTGATATGTAACGATTCGAATCGACAATAATCGATTTCGTGTACCCGATTATTACCATTATTACCAATCGTAGAATAGACAATTTCAAATACAAAGTTTTTCTTTTTCTTTTTCTTTTTTTCTTTCTTTTTTTTTTTTTTTTTTTTTTTTTTTTTTTTTTTTTT